GCGCTTTCTTATCATTCATTTTACCCGTTGAAGACTGCAGTTCGGGCAGTCGAAAGCTCGTAGTTTTTAATCATTTTAGCCAGAGATCGCTTTTATATTTCAACCAAGTTAATCTTGTGTTTATTAGCTCTTCAACACTCAACTAACTTGCCATAAACATTTCTGTTGCAGATGGAAACATAGAACGTAGACAAAAACAAAACTTTTTCTTCAGGGTTTATCCTGTTTTTCAAATGACATGAGGTGGCCACGAGACTCTATGTCATCATCATCATCATCATCATCTCATTTTTTCTAACTTATAACGGTCTAAATTTTCTTGTAAAATGCAGCGATAAGTTATAAACGCAGCGGAGTTAATATTCAAAATGTTATAGGAATTATGAAAACTGAACCAAAAAATAGGACATCAATAGACAATTTTTCCGTAAAAGTCAGTTACAGAAATAACCTTTTGTGAAAGCGTTACCTCTCGTTGACAGAACTGGTCATGACAATAAAGTGGAAGCCGGAATCAGCACCTTACAAAAATATATATAGAAAAATAACCTGACAATTACAGAAAATATTATGTGGAGGGAGGTAAAATATCTTCTAGAATATATTTTTAAGATAAAACGTCAAAATTAAATTTATCTAAAGACGTGATAAAATTCATCAGGAAGGAGAATAAATTATTGAAGTCATTATTATTTATCTCTCGAAATGGATGAGAATTTTTACAGACTGAACATTTTCAGACACAAGTCAAGAGTGTAATATATTATTTGTAATGGAGCAAAAAAAAAAAAAAAATATTTGGGAATACTAAAATAAATGCTGCCAGAAATTCGAACTTTGACATGAAGAAACTATCTCTTGTATGTGTTTAACTCTCAGTAACGGAGTGAGAAGACCGTTCAAACGGTGGCAAACAGTGTTGCCCCCCCCCCACATCCCCCTCCCTGCCCCACAAAAAAAATTTAAAGAAACAAGTAATTACAGTAATGTCTTATTTGATTCAGCTATAGAGCTGCAATTTTTAAAGCTTGAATAAATTATTTAATGACCTACAATAAAAGACAGTGCGACCGATTTGGGTGACAACTTTCCTTTATGTGTTATTCAATTTTAAACCAAACCTCTTGCAATACGCTGTATTAGGCACCTTTTTGACAGACGGGCTTTTTATACACTCCAATATCTTGACCCTTAACAATCTCTGACTACTCTAAAATCCGCTTTGGATTTCCTAATAATACGCTTTGAATACTTTATTGACAGCCGGGTGCTTTTGGTTGAATTTAGCTATAAAGGGCATTGAATTACTCAAATTGGTTAATTGTAGTACTACTTGTAGTCTCAAGACAAATATTATCATATTTGTCAATCAAAGTTCTGAATTTTTTTTAGGCCTTATTTCCGTAGGGTTCGTTACTGCGAGGATCGCTTTCGTACATTTCTTGAAACCACAGTACACACACAAATGATTTTCATATATTAAAATTCATTGTTATCACTTCAACGGGTTTAGCTATGACCAGCTCCCAGTTGGCTTGTTAGCTCAGTGGGTAGAGCACTGCACCGCTATCGCAGAGGTCATGGGTTGAAATCCCGTACGGGCCTGAATTTTTTTCAGGCCTTACCTCTACTACTACATGAGTAAGGTTCATTACTACGAGGGTCGCTTTCATACATGAAAGTTTGATATATTACTCCTTTTCATAAATGAAACTTTCGTTCAAATTTCTACATGATTTTATATTTTCTGTGGTCTGAGACTACGCCTCAATTCTACAGTTCAAAACGTTTGCACATTATATTTAGTAACAAGCAATAATGGTTAAAGTTGATTTGTACAACGCTCACGAATCACCTTGTTTTCACGACACAATATACTTTATTAACGATGCGGGAAAAGCTTTTTTTTCCGACTAATATTAATTTGCTACTTAGCATGGAACATTTTTCTTATTTTTACCATAGTCCATTTAAGTGAAGAAACAATTGCAAATTTGTCTTAACGTTTCCTTAACGGCGCTATGAACTTCTTTGATCTTCCAACAATAAAGAAGGGGATTTAGTAAGGAATTAAGATTGACAAAAGCAACTGCAAAGATTTGTGCTACGAAAAGTGTCGAAGTTAATCCACAGATAAGCGTTATAACCGTGGCTAACATAAATGGGAGATAGCAAGAGATTAACGTCAAGTGAACCCACAGTGAATTGATAACTGTCTGTTTGTATCTCGCCATCATCAGCTGGGCAGCTTCTCCTTGACTCCCATGATCTTGCACGGCCTTTCGCCGGCACCGAAAATAGTGATAGATTCTTGTGTAGGAATAAGTGGAGGTTGTTATCTTCAACATGACTGTTACGCCGCTAGCAAAGGAGTATACCCTCGTGCTCCACAACGAAGTGGCACCCACCAAACCGCTTTGAACCCACAGTAGAAAGACAACAAAACGAACTCGTTTTACTGTTACAACTTGCCTGTATCGTACTTGTAACAACAAAGCCATCAGTCGATCCACCGAAATTACGCTTACCGTCGACAAAGATACACCGGAGAAAATTGTACTTGAAAGAAAGGCTATGTATTCTAGCCGTCGACATTCTTCAAAGGTGCTTTCTCTTATTGCCGTCCAAATAAGAGCAATTGATACTGGCTGTGAAATAAAGCCAGCGCAAAGGTCAGTGATTGTGAGATTTCGAAGCAGG